AGTGCTGCCTATCAGTGCCCATCAGTGCCGCCTATCAGTGCCCATCAGTGCCGCCTCATCAACGCAAATCAGTGAAGGAGAAAAAAATACCTGTTTGAAAAATTTTATAAAAGAAACAAATAAACTTTTTTTTTTTTTTTCAAATTTTTTTGCACTTTTTTTAATTTATAGCGCAAAAAGTAAAGCGCCCAGTGGCGATTAAATACCACCAAAAGAAAGCTCTATTTGTGAGAAAAAAATGTCAAAATTTCATATGGGTACAATGTTGCATGACCGCGCAATTGTCAATCAAAGTGCGGCAGCGCTGAAAGCTGAAAATTGGCCTGGTAAGGAAGGGGGTATAAGTGCCTGGTAGGCAAGTGGTTAAAAACCAAAACAGAGTGCCACTATGAGAAGCTGACCAGTAGGTAAAAATGCTTTGCATGAGCGATTTATGAATCTGTATGTGTGTGTTTATAAGAAATCAGCGAGTACCCCAGCATGTGGATGTTTGGTGGCAGTCACTGAATGTAAAGGATATTTTAACTATTTGACTATCACTGTACATTTTAAAACGGAGCTAAAGTTCTGCTGTTACATACTGTGAGCAGGCAGGTTTTGTATTGCAGAAGAAACATGCAATCTATCATCTGCAATAAACTATACCTACCTGCATCAGGAATGTAAACTGATGCCTGTGTGCGGGAGTGACGTCATCCTGCTCTCCTGGAGGGCCAAAAATTGGCACACAAGAGAAGATACTGGCGCCATTGAGGAACCATTGGAAATGTGAGTATTGATCCCTTTGGTTTAAAGGAAGAAGTTGGTGGACGTGGTATGCTGGAGCTATACTCTCCTGTCAATTTTATATATATATTTTTGTATAGCAAAAAATAAATACCCAGTAATACCACCAAAAATTAAGCTTTATCTGTTTCTAAAAAGATGTGTAATGCATTTGGGTACCCTTTTCGCATGTCATTGTCAATCAAACTATCACAGCACTACATTATATGACATTCAGTATTTCAATAGCGATGGGGTTCAAGATCTCTGCATTCCAGGATTTGCAGCAAACTCCTGCTGTTTGCAATACACAAATGGGCAAACAAAATGACTGCTAGTACAGCAGGGAAGTCATACATTTAGCAGCAGTATTACCACTGATAAATGAAAGACTGTTTTGGCCATGCAACATCATTGGTTGGTGGAATGCAGGTTGCATCCAATGTCGTAGCAACCACCATCCCACTACTTGCTGACTTATTCGTACACAAGCTAGAAGGCATCCTGGGTGATTTAATTGACCAAACATGGTGATGGCTATATTTGGTCAATGACATCAGCCAGCATTACGGGCCAGTCTGTTGATGTTCAGCAGCCTGCCAACAAGCTGTCAATTGCAGAGAGAGTAGCAAAGGGAGCAGGATCATTATGCATGAGTCATTAGGTTTGTGTTGGCGGGTCAGTAGGATGCTCAATGGCATCACCTGGGATCCCCCAGTCGCATTGTTAACAAGCAGAAGGAAACCAGAGAATAAAAATTTTATTTAGGTTATGCTGTCATTTTTTTTGCATTAGTATAATCCCTTGCATATTAATCTTGAACACAGAGAATTAATTTTCAAAATTCACCTCCCAATAGCTTCAATGGAGTTTGCAGTAAGGTTTCCCATTTTAACCAACTCCATGAACGCCCTGTGCAAATAGAACCCAAGCACATTTGTTTATTACTATACATCTGTTGGCAGGTGCAGTGTGGTGCAGTGGTAGTAAATACACAGAGTCCAGTTACAGTAACAGAACTTGTATTAACGTCAGAGTTCAACTTTGCAAACAGCCCAGCGAGAAGGTACCCAACCGGGAACACTCACAGGTTGTAATGGCAATGTAGAACAGAGCAGGTCCTGGACATGCCAACAGCATCTGTCTCAGAGGGTGGAATGTGGCTTGGCTGGTCTGTACCCAAATGGGAGGATTCTATGGAGGATGGCATGCCCCTATTCTGTCTCTGCTGATCTGGAACCTTTTCCTACCACTTTTCACTTTCCCTGACTAATGGGTGACCTATCCCCACACTACCTACTCGCAAAATGCTCCTCAAACCCAGGAGCCAGGGTCTTAAAAAGAGACTCTGCCTGACTCAAGGTGGCCCAAGCATCCAACCAGATAGCTTCCCCAGTGAACCAGGAAACCATAGAGGAACATTGTCCCTCCTGACTTCCTCTCCAGCTACCATGCCACCGTGGTTGAGCGTCACCTGCAGTGGAGAAAGTAGACTGCATCAATAGAGAGAAATAAAGGATCAATAGAAAACGTATGTAGCACAAACAAAGTAGTACAGGAAAACAGTATATATATATATATATATATATATATATATATATATATATATATATATATATTTTACAAACGTGAATATAGTGACAGAGATATTGAACTATATGTAATCTCATAAACAATCATAAATCCCGTTGCAAGAAGTGTGATTATAGAAATACACTGCACAGAACATGATTAGAGAGTAAAATTGATATATGGCATGTAATTCCATAGGTTCAAGCATGAATATGAGAAAGATAGATAAATCAATGCTGCAAAAGACTGATGCACAGAGAACACACTATAAACCAAGAGTGGAATGAGTTAAAAACATTAAGCTACATTGCAAACACACATCTATATATACAGATGCAAAACATATCCAGAAATCCAGAAATCAATAGTAAAAAGAAATCATCTCTAATGTTGGGTGTCTTATGTGTGTGAATGCCGCTACATTATTTAAAACTGTTAGTTTTGCTTTTTACATTTTACAATGGGGTTCCTCAAGACTGTGCATTATTTCAAAGAGTGCCTTGAGTGAAAAAAAGGTTGAGAAACACTGGATTAATTGAACACACAGATATATTTTATATCTACCATATTGCAAATTAGCAGCCAGAGCTGAACCTTGTAGCTCTCTTACAACATGTGTCTATCTGCCCCATACTGGCATCATATCCACTGGAGCATTTGCGTTTTGCAGAGCAGAGTAGGGACTGTTCATAGAAGGTTTACTCTGACATAGTTGGCCAGCTTAATCATGTAGTGCAATATATGTGAACAAAAATCCCTTTTTTGTTGCAAAATTTGCTAGTAGGGGTATATAACAGTGTGCATAGGCTTCATCCAGATGGTTCTGTGTTAAACATAAAATCTATTATAAACATAGAAGATTTTTCGACACAGGTATATTTTGTTTATATTGCATTGCAGCTCATTGGCCAGACGGGAACCTCATACACCTTTTGTCTATTTGCCCCATACTGGCACTATATCCATTGAAAAATTTGCATTTTGCTGAGTAGATTAGGGACTAGTCATACAGGGATTACTTAATCATGCATTGCAATATACTGTATGTGAATCGAAAATCTGTTTTTTTTGGTAAAGTTTGCTAGTAGCAGTATATAGCAGTGTGCAGAGGGTTCATCCAGATGTTTTAGTGTTAACATGTGATTTACGCATGGGTATATATAATTTGTTCCACTCAGCCCCACCTCTATGCGCAGGATTTGATTGACAGCAGCGGGAGCCAATGGCTCCTGTTGCTGTCTCCAAGCAGAGAGAAATGGGCACAGCACATGATCAAGACTCAGGTAAATATAAAGAGGATGAGCAGACAATACAAGCACTGGGACATTTTTACCTTAATGCAGGGAATACATTAAGGTAAGAAGATATCCAGGTTTTAGAACCACTTTAGTTCCTAATTTCTGAAACCACATCTTTTTAGCTGAGCTGGAGTGGCTAACTACTAGAGTAATATGATCAGTTCCAATATATTAACAAGAGCAAAGTACTAAATAAAGCAGTGAACTAATCACGTGGGCAGGAAATAACATAACTCTGAGAAACTTCTGTGTGATAACATACAAAATGATATACGAAGGAGGGACATTCAAGTCAAACCGGGACTTTTCATTTTCCAGGTATAAAAAGGGATGCCAGTGTGGTGGTTCTAAATGCAGTAGTATGAGGCAAGTGTGTCCTATTACTGAGAGGCAGCGCATATGTCAGGGGCCAGTCCAGAGACCGCTAATCAAGATGGCAGACAACAGTAAAAACATGTGGTGATGAAGTTTCTTGTGAATGAAGACATAAAATCTGCAGATATCTACAGAAGACTTTAAGCACAGTACAATGATGAGATGCTCATCCACAGTAAGACATTTGAATGGTGTACACATTTCAAAGAAGGCTGTATCTCCATCAGTGACAATCTTGGTCATTCTTGTGAACATTCAGCGTATGGAACGTCTGATTCTGGATAATTGCCGCATAACCTGTCATGAAATTGCACAAGACACAATTCTTTCTGTGGGAACAGTGAACACAATGATGAAGAAGTGAAGCAGGCTGTCCTAGGATGGTTCAGGCGTACTGACAAATCTTTCTATGCCGAAGCTTTCCAAGCGTTAGCTAAAGGTTGGGATGAGTGAATAAATGTAGCAGAGGAGTATGTCGAAAAATAAATGCACTTTCCACTTCTTGATATTTGTTCTTTTATTATATAAACTCAAAAGTCTTGGTTTGACTTGAACGCCCTTTGTACAAGGAAGCCAAGCTTGATTTTTCTAGTCAGTATATGACAATCATAACTGGTAGACAACTGAACTAAAAGGTCATTTTGATTCACAATAAAATAAAAAAAAGTCTTATATAGCAATTATATATAACTACTAAAGCAAGTTACTTTACAAATATTGTGCAGGGAAACTTTATTAAAAACCCTCAATAAGCAGTCAACACCTGAAATAAGACTACAATGTCACCATAGTTTTACTGTGAGCGCATTGAACAGCTAAATTAAAATAAAGTAATACATATAATTTTAAACATTAACAAAACTTGTTGCAAACTTGTTACTTGCAATGTGACATTCATTTTTACTTTCAGGGCAGAGAAGACATTGTTTATAATGCTATTCTCAAATATTCTAGCACCTCATTTGCACTGACATATAAGATATAACATACCTTTGTGCTCTCTGAATTGCTGAAAAAGAATGTCTCTTCATATGGTGAGATTGGATTACTGCTTTCATCTCCAGATTGCTCTGCATTAATTAAATAAATGAATAATCACATTCTGAATACAATTCACACACATCAGTGTCTACAAAAAGACAGAGATGAACTTGAATCTTGCGCAATGTTAACCATAAACATCAAGCACAAAACCTGGATGTATTTATACAGAAAGTACACACTTTGCATATGAAATAAAGGGGTTGATTTACTAAAGGTAAAATAGATTGTGCACTTTTCAAGCTGCAGTTGCACTCTGCTTCAGTAGTTGCTCTTAGCAAATGAGCAGAAGCTCTGCTGACTTCCATCATCCAATCATGTGCAAGCAAAAATGCTGTTTTTGTTTCCTTGCATGTACTGTCATTGGGTATTCTTTGCAAAGTCATTTACTACGCTTTGCTGCACCTGCACTGTGCAAAGTGCACAGTATTTCCCTTTAGTAAATCAACCCCATAGTCTTTGTACTGAGACTGTCCCTCTACAAAGCTGTCTCTTTAGCCCCAGATTCACACTGATGCAGTATGGGATTCACAATGATTCCTGTGTGTTTCTCGCTCAACGCTAAGTTGACGACACCCCAAAACCGGTTCTCAAAATGCAGTGCGATTGGCCAAATCAGTTGAAATTCAATCAGTGTATGGCCAAACTTTCCTTTCTTCTGTGCTGTACATCCCTTTTCCTTTTTCATTTTTTTTCCCTCTGTTTTTTTTTTTTAGAATAGATCCAGTTAAGTGAAATTTCAAATATCAAAAAATATCAAAACTCATTTTAGGGAGTTGTAGGGAGAATAAATTTGGGAGCATTGATTTTCAATAGGGCAGGGATCTCTAGCAGACTCATGAAGCCTTTCTCCAGTCTCCTGAAGCATATCCACAGTCTCTAACCATCTCTTGTTGCTTGTTTGTATTCCCTGACAGCTTTTTGTAGAATATTATGTCAGGCTCTTTGGTGGTGTTAGGGGCTGCCCCTGTTTTATGAAAGTTGACTGCCACTGCTGTAAAGTTTGTCTTTTTGATTTTAGAATATTGCAATATATTAAGGACTTCTAATGCATGTGGACTGTTTTATGCAATTCTTCCAAACCTGAACAAGTGTGAATGTAAGTATTTCTAACTCTCCTCTAAATTGTATGATCTTCCTACTTGTTCCACACTGGTAAGACTAGAGGGTCAACGTAAAGACAAACCAACCAGCATTTTCTGAAGAAGGTCAACATGGAGACCTCATGTAACCATCATTGCTGGTCTGGTTTATTTAGGAAATTGGCAGCAATATATTTTGGGCTGGGTTATTAATAAGGCATATCCCTTGTCTGCCACTTCCCTTATTAATAAGACAAAATCCCTTGTCTTTCTGTAATGGTTGCCTCAATGTTTGATGACCAATTGCAGTCACTTCACTAACCTAAAGGAACCTGTAGACTGAGTTGGAATATAGAAAAGCACTGTAGAGGTTAAGGAATTTATGTACAGTTTTATAAGCCACTAATGTTGAAGATGAATTGACCCAAGGGAGCTGTATGTCACTATGTCAAGAGAGAAAGATTTCACTATCCCCCCCCCCCCCCCCAGTCACTTTACAAGCAAGATGGCAGCTTGGGAAGTTCTAAGAGTCATACAAACCAGCACATAATAATAAATCTCATAAAATAACAAATGTCCTTCTTTGAGCATCCTGCTTTGCTTGGAGGAATACGAATCCCCTTCATTCATAGCTGGATACAGAGAAAAGCACACTTTTATTGCAGTCTTGGTTTCCATCTTCCACCCTCTCTCTTTCTCTAACAGACATCTTCAGCAGTTACATTTTCTCTACAGGCAGAGAATCCCCAGAAGCTGATTCCCCTCTCCTATCTGCTCTCTGTCATTACGGCTTGTCAAGATCAACAATTCCAGAGCTGATATAGTGCTTTGATTGGTAAGGAGTGCCAACATAAACACAAAAAAGCATTAAAAGCATATTTCACACAACATTCCCTTTCTAGTTAAAAAAGACAAATACATTATAATACAAAAACATTTGGGTGTAGGGGGGGATTTAGAGCTCAGTCTTGAAGCTGAATTTGGATACACTGGATTAGGAAAAATGTTTAAGATTTGCTCAGTTAGGTATCTTGCACTGATCAATTACCTTAAGAAAACTATAAAGTCCACAATGTATATTGCAAACAGCTGCTCCCATTTAAACCTTTTTTTCTGGCAGTGATAACAAGGTCACACGTTTGATAATATATTGTATCCAATGTTCATGTGCAGTTATTTCCTGGTTTCTTGTATTGTAGTGTTTTTGTGTTATTCTCAATGGCTTCTAGGATTTCTTATGATCTCCTAAGAGTAGTGCAGCATAGCATTTTACAATATAATCCATCATACACTTCCTCATTACTGTATGAGGGTTATATTACATACAAGCTTCATGTTTAAATATTTATTTACCCAATCTTATGCTTTGAGATTTTTAGGTATTATATGCAATGATGTCAGATTTTTGATAACTGATTATTTACTATTTATGGACAGTTATTTGCTGGTTCTTTGCAATTTGTGCATTTTTTGTGCTGAGTTACAATTTATCTTCACTGTCTATTGGGACCTCTTGTGGTCTTATTAGAGTAATGCACTGAGCTTGTTTTCTAGTCTAATCCATCATACATATCCTCATTCCTGAACAGAGATCACACACATGGTTACATTTTTAAAGACCGTTATGCCAAATCATAGGTTAATTGCCTTTTATATTTAGATATACTGTAAATCACAGTGTTCTTTGCTTAAAAAATGCTAAAGCTTGCAGTTGTATTAATATAATATCATTATAATCTATACAATGTACGTTGAAGCATGATATCAGCCCCTGCACCAATAAAGCTAACATTATAATAGCTCATGCAGTCTATCACACAAACATTACAGCCAGTATTCATTTTAAGCCAGTTTATGTGCCAGTATATTTTGTTTTACTATCAGAGGAAACCTGAATTCCCAAAGCAACACTAAAGAAATTTGGAGACAGCAGTCTAACTTTACGTGGCCCTGATCCCAATGGGATCAATGTGATTCCCAGAATGAAAGTAGTGTATAAAGTCAGCAGCATTAGCCATAATGCTAGGGAAGCTGTGTACTATGGGTAAAATGAAAAAATAGTACATGCAATGCTTAAGCATTCTACATTTTTTCACAGTAAGTACTATATGCATAACACTGCTCAATTCTCAATTTAAAGCTGGGCTGCATGCAATCAGCTAAATTCACATATACTGTATATATATATATATATATATATATATACACACACACACACACTTTTTTACCTGCTCCATGATTTCCTTAGCTAGCCTTGTGATCCAAGAACCAGAATAAAGTCAGTGAATTGTGAACTCAGTTACATTTCTTGACTACAGTTAAAGCCCAGCTGACTCCTCCCTTATTTATTATTGTAATACCGATAATTGCTACATATTTATTACCCTATATGTAGCCTGGCTGCATTACAAACGTAAATAAGGAGGGTTCATTTGGGCTCCTCCAGACAAATGCCTTTGTTGCCAAACTGTCCCTAAGCTGCAAATGGACAATAAAACAGCAGCAGAAGCCTAAGGTGGTCAAAATGCTGATCCATTGTGAATGCTAAGATTCAAGGGATTCCAGGAGGATTATTGTAAGAAGATTCAGGTTGTTCTATGCAAAATATTTATTATGTTTTAATGAGCACAGAATAAGTATTGGATTAAAGTTCAGCCTTTAAAGTAGAATTATTGGGTAATGCTAAGCTTAAAACTGCTCCCACCCCCCTTCGAAGACCTACACTTACCTATCCTAAGCGCACTCCAGTCCAGTCATGTGATTGGTTCTTCTCTCTCAACTAGCAGCAGCTTCAGGGGAGAGGAGGAAGTGCAGACAGGGGATGCCCCATAGTAATTCTATGGATGACGTCACCACCAAGGTATTCCAGCCATTATTGGATCGCTCTCTCCTCTCCCTTATAGCGACTGCTGGGGAGATCACATGACCAAACTGGAGCGCTCTGAAAACAGGTAAGTATCTGCATCTTCCTTTTACATGGTAGTTAGTATAGGTGTTAGAAAGGGAGTGGGATACATTTTAAGCTTAGAGAGTGTTACTCTGGAATTCTAATTTAACCCCTTCACCGACGTAACACAAATATGCAGCCTCACAGAACTGGGCTTTTTTCCGTGGGGCCGCATATTTGTGTATCTGTCTTTGTGCTGGGAGCACAGCGCGTGTCACTGAAAGCCCGAGGTCCAATTCTAATGATCGGGTCTGGGACATCCAACTCCAGGTCATATGATCGCTGTGATAGCCTCTGATTGGCTATCACAGTGATCAGTCACTGTACAGCCCGCTCCCCTTGTTTTTTTTTTCCTCTATGGATGAAATAGAGCGATACATTGTATCTCTCTCTCTCTCCTTGCATAGAGGAAACAAAAAACAAAAACTGTTTGTTAAAAAAAAAGATAAATATTGAAAAAATAAAATAAAAACTAAAGAAAAAATAACAAGATCAAAGTTTGATCTAGTTCAGTGTCAGGGTTAGTGTTTGGGTCAAGGTCAGGGTCAAGAGTCAAGGTCAAAGGTCAGAGTCAAAGGTCAGGATTTTTATTTTTTTTAAATTGGTATCAGTGTCAGTTAGTGTCAGTGTGTTTTAGGTAAAAAAAAAAAAAAAAAAAAATGCGCACTATTGTTTCTGGACTGTAGTACAGGCACAAAAACCAAACAACATACACATATATGGTATCGCTGCAATCATCAAGAGCTGGAAACTTTATTTTGGGTTGTTCTTTGGAGGTAGGTTATGGTAGTAACAAGAAACACACAGCTAAATTTAAAAAAAAACTTTTTTTTTTTACTATTTTGGGCTAGTTTTCAGGAGATACCCATTACCATTTGCCACCAAATGAAAGCTCAATTTTTCCTGTAAAAACAAGGTATAATCCACCTGGATGTACAAAGTAGTTGTGATGATATGTATGGGTTTACTAA